GCCACCAAAATCCTCCTGAGATGTTTCACCAAAACCCCAGGAGGAGTCACAGCASTCCCTAAACCTCTGGGCTGGGAAATTTTGGTGTCAGCACACCTCAGTGGGGCAGCGAGGGGGATTTATCACCCAAAGGCTCCCAGACCCACAGACTTCCAGACCCACATCAGCATTCCAAGGTTCTCCACCGTCGCCCTGGCTGCAGGGAATCCTGGATCCATCCCTGAGCACGCAGGGRAGGAAGGGGAAGGCTCTCACCCCTCTGCAGGCGTAATGAGCTGTTTTTCTCCCGTGTCTCCGACGCTTGGCTTCCAGCCCCGAAAGGAAGAGCGCCGTGCCAAGAATTTCCAYGGCTGTGTCCAACAGAGCAAGCTGACACCTGATTTGCTGTTAATTATAGCGGTGGGAATAGGCCCAGGGGCAAATGTGAAAGGGTGACAAGCGGGTGGCGATAAGGACAAGCCTCATCTGTCGTTTGTCACAAGGGCTGGTCGGGAGGGTTTTGTTTTCGGTGAAAAACCAATGGAAACATTTCCAGCGTGCCGAGAGGCAGCCGGCAGGGCAGGAGCTGCAGGAATCCTGCCTTCCCCTCTGGCTGCCTTCCCCCAGCACCTCCAGAGCAGAGAGGGCTGCGTGGTTCCCAAAACCCCTTCCAGCCCCGTGCATGCCACCAGGCACCGTGGAATTCCTGCAAGAAGGGAGGTAAAAATAGACCCTGAATTATTTCACAGCTTTTGTCCAGCCTGGCTGTGGATGAAATAAGCCCCATCCCCTTTTGAGGCCCGAGCAGCTCCAGCCATTCCCAGCACCACCAAACTCTCTCCCAAACAAGGAGACTCTGCCCTTTCTGCCTCTGTTGTGTTCCTTGTTGGATAAGTCACTATTCAGGAATGTTGTAGTTCCAAGGGGGAGCACCCAAAACCTGTAGATGGTCCCTGCTGAGGTTGTTAACCGGAAATTTTTAGGTGCAACCAGGTTTATTTCTGATTCGGTGGCTTTCAGAGATGTGCTGCATGTCCGTGCTTTAAACACAGAAAAGAGAGGTGATAGAGAGAGAGAAAACAGAATTAAAAATATTACCTTTTTAATTTTATATTTTGTTTTATTTTATTTTGTTCCAGCATGGAACCAGGTGGAGTTCAACAGTGGTTGTGCAAGCAGGGCATGGGCAGGGAGAACCCTGTTTCCAAAAATAAAATAAAATAAAATAAAATAAAATAAAATAAAATAAAATAGAAAATATATAGAATAGAATAGAATAGAATAGAATAGAATAGAATAGAATAGAATAGAATAGAATAGAATAATAGAATGAGGGGGTTTATACCTTTTAAAACTCTTGGGAAGGATTTCAGCAGAATGCAAGCACAGGTTTCTGCACCCCATGTTGAAGCCCTGGGCTATCACAGACTGGTGCTGCAGGGATGTTTTTTAATGATGCATTTTGAAACCTTTGATGCATTTTAAACTCATTAACATTTTTGTCCTCCCCGKCCGATGCCCGAGCACGGATTGCTCGAACTCGGCTGCTCCCCAGCCTGCAGGGGCAGCTGGAAGGGGAAACAAGCATTTCCACTTGTTTGGGAAGTGCTGCGAATGGGTGTTGGCCAGGAAACAAAGCTCCGGAGAACCGGGAATGTGTTGGGTGGCTGCTGGGCTCTCTGGACAAACAGGAGCTGGCRGAGCTCAGGTGCACTGGGTGCCCCACCCAAGGGGGCCCAGAGGGTCACTTTACTGCTGCTCACTGTCTTTTTAAGCCAAATTAAAACAAGAAAAAAAAGAAAAAAAAAAATACACTACATAACTATATATATTACACAGTTTTATAGACTGTGTAAATATAKATATCCATAATAAAAATGTATATAGGTTAAATATATACCAATCTGTAAGCAATAAATATTTATATTATATATACATCCTTGGGGATCCATGCCTAGATGCACCTGGAAATTATATGCATATAATATAAAGAAATGTAAATATAACATTTATTTACAAAYAAATATTTATATTGTAGATGGAGTTGTAAATACATATTCATATAACAYAGAAAGATATATGTGTACAATATACAAAAGATACAGAAATCATATATATACATTACTACATATATGCATATTATTATTACACATATACATGTTACAATATATWATGTATTGATATAATRTTTATATTATACATACATCTATATTTATAGTATATATTACTTTTAAGCATATATAATTAACAGAGAAATGCCCATAAAACAGCTGTGTTACTATTTACATTATTTGGACAAAAACAGAAAACCCAAAGCTTTTTCTGTTTTTCCCCGGTCAGTAAATTAAAATGTTTACACCTTGGCTTTCCATCTGCCTCCTGGCCATATTTCCTTGGCATTTGCACTGTCTYTTCCCCCATAAACACCCGGGTTTCCATTATCTGCTGACCCTGCTCAGCTCAAACAAGTCAGTTAATTGGCAATAAATGAAGTGGCTGAAAAACAGGGGAGAGAGGGAAAATAAATGTCCTCAGTGGGAAACTTAACAAGGAGAGCTAAGGAAGAAATAAATGAGATTAAAGGGTGCTGCTGGGTATTCAGAAGGGCTTTTACATCATCCCTTGTCACCATCCACCTTCAAGCCAGGAATGAGCCCATCTGAAAGACAACTGCCCCAGCCAAAAACTGCCAGTGCCAAAACTGGGATGGGGAGAAGGGCTGCAGTAAGGTGGGACGGGATCAGTGCTTTTGGCAGAACAYTGCATTGAGAACAGCTGATGAAACCAAAGGAAATCACTGCTACTGTATTTATGGATTTTATTTATGAGGCWTATTTACGAGGCAGTTTATTTAGGRGGCATAAAACCAGACATTTGGTTTGGGTTCGGTGCCTTCACCCCACTGTTACTTTGTGATGCTGCCCCATGTTCCTGGAAGATGCTGAACCCCCTGGCTGAGATGGTGACATCAGGCATGGGGGGAGCAAAAGTTTATTTTTCATTTGGGGCATTTAGACCTCTCTTTTTCATTCCTGAGCCTACTTAACCCAAAATGTCAGTGCAACATTCCCAGTTGGCATTTTGGGAGCAGACGAGCAGCTTGCCTGTGTCCTGTGAGATAAACCTCTCCCTCAGTTTAATCCAGCTCAAGAGCTTTACCAAAATTTGCTGGTTTTGGATGGGTTGGTTCTGGTTACCCCACCCTCAGTGCTCAGTTTCTATGATTCCCTTCCTTCCATAAAACACAGAGCAGGAGAGACGGTTTCCCCCTGGCTCCACCACAGTGCGACAGGTCATTGGAAATAATTTTATTGCTGGCAGATAAAAAATTATCTCTCCTTATTACCCTGTAAGTCATGCCTGTAATTGTCCTTTGAAAAGAGAGCTGTACAGAAGTCACCCCAGTCCTGTTGTGTTTTTGGCTCACAGGAGCTGAGCTGTAGGAATAGAGCAACAGGTTTAAATCAAAGCATTTTAATTAATAGGGGAAGAACAGGAGTGGGGCTGCTCTTCCATTTAAGATAGCAAGTTCCAGTCAGTGTCCGGAGAAAAGGATCAGGATTTTGCTGAAATTCTGGAGTGAATCCCCTTGGCTTCTGCACCTCCCTGGCAGTGAATGTGGGCATGAACCCGGGATGGAAAGCCACGGGTGCACTGGAAAGCTCACACTCCACAAATC